ACCAAAATCAATCAAAAATCATTCTCAAAAATTGAACTTGCGAAAACTGCTTTTGCCGAAATCTCCACCTCCGACGACACCCAAGGTCACGCACCACCACCGGTCGATTGCCCACCCCCAGACGTCTCCAGCCATAGCTCTAATTTACCTAAAATGTCGACCCAACCACAAGCGAAATGGCTACCCAACCACTGCCAAAATCGCCACAGCCACAGCCTGCACCAACTACCGATCGATTGCCCACCCCCAGACGTCTCCAGCCATAGCTCCAATTTACTCAAAATGCTGATCCAACCACAGGCAAAATGGCGACCCAACCACAGCCACCGCCTGTACCAACCACCCCATCAAAGAAAGAAAAAAAAAGATGAAGGAGATCGTAGGGAGAAAGAGAGAGAGAGACAACCAAAATGGAAATGGAAATGGAAATGAGAGAGAGAACACATTTTCCTTTTTTTTTTTTCGAAAACAGTTTTCGAAAAGTCCAAAAAGAACACATTTTCCAAAATCTCAAAATAGACACCCAAAACACGAAACTCAAAATGAATTCAAAACACAAAATCGAAACACAAAGAGAACGGCCCATAAGTTTTTGTAGGAGATAGAGATATATTTCGAACTCTAGATGACTCATTGAGTTATTTTCATAAAGAATTAATACAATATTTTAGGTTTTAATCAACACAGAGATATAGTTGATTAAACCAATCGATATAGAGCTAATTTCACTTGAGAGTGATAATTAGTTAAAATAGGAAATTTTGATCTAATATAGTGAATGGGTAATTTGTTAAATTTCTTGTTGTGAAATTAATTAAATGACGATTAAGTGAAATTATAAATCTCAACCATTCTATCATCCAAATTTTCTTCAATTTTTAGATTCGCTAATTTTTGTTGGATTTAAAGTTTTTTTTTTTTTTTTCAAAATCAAATCTTATTGTGTGTTTCATTCTCAGAATTAAATTAATTATTGTGTAATTAAGTAACCATTTTTCTGGAATCGACAATCCGAAATCTTTAGTCCATTTTATATCTTGTAGCGACCCTGTGCGCATTCGGCATACATTTTTTATAGCCAACAGTGGTCATCAATTTCATCAAGCCTACCCAAAGTCATCGTACACTCCATCTCATCTTCTCTTGATAACTTCGTCATCAAGCCAAAAGAAGATCCCATGCAATCACGTAGGAGTGGGTGCGATCTGATTCGATTCTGAAGCAAACTAAATCGAATTGAATACCAATTAAAGTCTTATAAATGGTCTGATTTACTTCTTTCTATTTAAAATTATAAAATTAGAGTGTGAAACTATTTGTCAGATTGAAAATAATCAAAATTTGAGTATGAAATCACTTGTCATTCATGTAATCTAACAATATAAAAAATTAATTAAATAAAAAAGTCATTACAAAGCTCGAGATCAACTCATAAATATGAAAAAGAAAAATTGAAAATTATTAAACAAAGCATAAACGGTAAAATATGGATAGAGATTTTTAAAAATTTTATACAACAATATCTATTAAAAATCCCGATTATCGTTAGTAGTCATCAATGATCTTGATTCTTTATGGTTGGTCACTTTTAAAACAACAAGAAATTTGAGTTTTTATAAAATATTGAACTAAAAACATATTTTTTTTTTCCTATTGGGTTGCACTAAAGCTATTAATTTGTAAAGCATTTATAAAGTTATTTAAACTTGAATTTTGATTACTCATTAAGTTTTGTTGCAAAGGAAAAAAGAAGCATATGGAAAATGAAATTTTGACATGAGATAATTTTGGAGTCTAATTTTTAAAGATTTGGTGCATCTTTGCACAATATACCAACAAAAAGAGAAATTTTAAAGAATCAAATTCATCAACTTTTAAGACAGTACCGAGAATCGGACCAGAACAAGTTGATTCTGGATCCATGGTCCCAAAATAAGCCTAAAGCATATGGGATACTTAAGAGGGAAATTTTAAAAAAACAGTTGTTTAAAGATTACTTTCTAA